TCAATTCAAATGTGGCGATTTTCATAAAAACACTGCGTTCAAAAGTTATTACAATGTTAAAAACCAAGTGAACAAGCCAATATTGACCTTGATCACATTGTTCTGATGTGCTCCCGTGGAGGCACAACAGAGGGCAAATTTGGAGTCTCACGATGCGATCTAATAGACTCTCAGAAAGCTACTGACACCCCGCGATAATTAATCCCAGCCTGTCAATTAGCAGTTCTAACTGTGCATATGTACTGTGTGGGTGCAATGCTAATAAGCGTTTCAAGTGCACCGAGGGTTTGCACACCCTCGGCGCGCATGCGCAGCGAGGGTTACAGTACTTGGGTCTGTCCGTGTGTGTGTGTGTCTGTGTCTGTGTGTCTGTCTGTTACTCTACATCTCACCTCTCGAATGTCTGTTCGTCCCAGAAACGATACCATCTACCCAACGGGCGACGAAGGTCAGAAGATATGTGGGGTTTTCTCTGAAAATGCTCCGTTGCAGAGCTAGAGCGCGAAAAAGCCAATATGCAAATACGCAACGGACGGGATGGCTTACCTCGATCCGCGTGCTCTGCGTATATACCTCGGAGGCACCAGAAGATGCAACGCAGGGCGTGTATCGCCTCTCGCATGCTATCTAGTAGTGTAGCGCGAGCTGGCAAGAGACCACGAGTAACAGCTAAAACTAAACCCAGCCCATCGATTACATGATACAGCGCATGCGTTTACTCACGCGTGCGCGTCACAATGCGCCGAGGGTTTGCACTTCAGTGCTTTTCATTCAAGGTATTAGCTATTTTCTCAGCTATCAACCTCCCTACATAGGGCTGTGAATGAACTTCCTCCACCAGTGATCCAGCTGACCCACACACCTGACCCGGCCTCCTCCACATCTGTAAGTCCTTCTCCTCTCTCCCAGTCCAAGCTTCCATATGTACGTTATGGGCAAAACCCTTCAACTCTCTGTTTTAATTGTTAACTTAAGCTCGAATGGGTTAGGGCCACACATCACCTATCTCCAACTAGCTCTATGTAGTGTAAGTTACAGTTGAAATTTGCTACGGCATAATAATTATATAGAATATAGAATAACATCAACACATCAATACACATCTTATGCTGTCCTCTTCTGCCATCACCCAGTGGCTTAGTGGTAAAGAACCTGACTGGTATTCCCAAAGGTCATGGTTCGATCCCAACTGGCCCCCTTTTTCATAGACATTCCCAGCAGATGACATAGCACTTTCAGCTTACCGTGATGATTGACATTCCAGTTCCCCATGTGATTACGATCCCCTATACTGCGTTATTACCTCATATGTAGAGCAGTGTTTAGTCTAACATTCCCATATATTTTGTATTGAACTGAGTTTGTTGCTTCTGATCTTTCGTGACCTCTGTGTGAAGAATATAGAAAGAACCCAGAACTCACCGTCAAACTTATAACTTAAACCTGAATGCTCCTTCCTCTCCACCAACCCTGCAGGCAGAGGACTCCTACCTGTATGTGGTGATGGAGGACAGACAGAGGGATTCCTGACTGTGAGGAAAGGCCAACTGGTGGAGGTACTGGACCAGGGAGGAGGAGGGGGCAACTGGCTGGTGGTGGCTCTGGCTTCTGCCCCAGGGGATCTGGAAGATGAGGGGTTCCTCCCTGCTCGTTGTCTCCAGCCAGCCAGCAAGAGTTAGCCACACATGTTTGCATCACCACTTACATTTCTTTTCCCCCCAATAACTGTGCCTTCCTTGATTTGTATAATAGCTTGTCATCCTTCTTATTATTGGCAAGCAAAGCGTGCCTACCAAGTTTTCTGAATGTTTCTATTAATATTTATTGACGGGTGCTGTACATACTGTAGTGTTCTATGTGATTCTGTTAGAAATTGTCACAAAATGTGTGTTGCATTCACTCTAGTAGTCTGAGTTACTGATCTGTGCATGAGATTCATGGCATGTTTTACAGTGGGAGTGTCTCGTCCGTCACCAATGGACACTGCCTCCAGTCACTATGGTGACAAGACCACACCCCACTCATCACATGATAAGATATTGCTCCACTGGACATTATTGTGTAGTTGTATCTTTAGTAACATATCTAATTTTAGCCCTTATGTATGTACGGTCACATTCCCTTTAATTGTCACACTCTCAGAGCAGTATATCACTACAAAACCAGATTCACAAAATTGTTTTCTGTTTTCGGTCCTTCCCGCAGGATACGTTCCAGATCCAGGCTGGTGCCAAGCCGGGCTCCAAGCAGAGACAAGTGTTCCTCTTCCCAGAGTGTCTCCTCATTGCCAAGAGAGAGAGAGAGAGAGAGGACGGAGCTACTACACACAACTTACCGACACAGAGAACACTTTACTACAACATGGCTTACTTTTATGAAACTAAAAGATGACTCCTTTGTCTACATATTAGCTGCCATGCTGATTGCAAAATTCGCTATCATTATTGGTGTACTGAGATTTCAGGATTTATCCACGTGTTGTTTTCTGATTGTCTGACAAAGTTTGATATAGCTGTGTTTAACATACACCATAGTTGGTCTTGTGTTGCTTTAAGGGGGTGCCTGCTTTTTTGCTTGTTGTAATATTTTGCAAGTAATTTAGAAAATATTATCTGCTACTGGCATCTACAATTAACCTTGTTTTATGGTGTGAGGAGTTGGTCCATATGTACCACAGCTACAGGACATCTCCGTGGCTCCTGACATGGACCCTCAGAAGAAGAACCTCATCATCTACGACATGAACTTGGGGACAAAGTTCACTCTCACTGCAGCCATGAGGGAACATAATATCTGTGATGAAGCCTTCAGTGAAGGCCCAACCTTGCATGCCATTCAAAAACAAGCTGTGTAGGAGAGAATTCGGTAGCTACAAGTTACTCCAAGCCAATCGTGGAGGATGAAGCAATGCTGCCACATCAACTCTGCATTAAATGCGATGATGTGCAAGCAAGTTTGTAATGTCAGAAGTGTCATCCTTCCGCCTTCTATTGCTTTCTGTTGGTATATTATACACAAGTGGAAAAACGATTTCTTCAAAATGAAGGAGGATACAGGGGATGGCTCAAAGTACCACAAATGAAAGAATGAAAAGCACTTAAAGTGGTAGCCCGCGGAGATTTGACACGGGCTAGCCACAGTATATAGTAGATAGCTAGTCTGGTGCCCAGACCCTTCACAAAATATAAGCGCACGCGCGTAAACGCATGCGCGAGAGCGGGAGAAGGGTCTGGTATATAACTATGCCTCTCCACGGGCCAAGGAATTTCAGCAACCACTTATCGCGAGTTGTTGAGGCATAGTTATTTACCAGACCCTTCTCCCGCTCTCTTTGTGAAGGGTCTGGGTACCAGACTAGTAGATAGCATGCGGAAGTCGATACACGCCCTTCGCTGTGGTTTCTTGTGCCTCCAAGGTACACAGAGCAAGCGGAGGTGACCTTGTTGAACGCACACGCGCTACGTTGTCTGGGACTGTGCCAGTTTCTCGCGCTCGAACGCTGTCGTTTCAGAAAAATCGCCATTTTCATTTTCATGCGTTTGTAGCACTGGAGCGTTTGGTATCGCTCTTAGGTCGTCTCGTAGCCTGTAGTGCGAGAATAGTCGTGGACACACAGACACATCACACACACACACAGACCAACTACAACCCTCGCTGCGCATGCGCGCCGACGGTTAAAAAGAGGTCATTTCACAGCTAAGACACACAAATCAACATGACACTATCCCCATATATTTGTCTGATTGTATATACTTCCCTATATATTAGTCAATAGAACAATAGTGTCATGTTGATTTGTGGGTCCTTAGATATGAAATGACTCTTGTTCTTTCCTTTTTGGTGCTTCAAGCCATCCCTATATCCCCCTTCATTTTGAAGAAATGATTTTTCCACTTGTTTCCACTATTTTTGACTGCTTATGACAACACTGCATTTTCATGCACTCTGATGTTCATGGGTGTGTTGTAGAGATAACTGATGAAAGCAGTAGCTAATGGGCTGCTGCGCCTGAAGCGGGGTGTACGCTCCAACAAGGACGCAATTAGGTTGTGGCACACGGTGCCGATTTCATGGGCAGGCTTCAGAAATCAGACTACAATGATAGCTATTAGCTACCCGGGGGACAAAGAATGAAGGCTAATTTATAATTATTATTATTATTATTATTATTATTAAACTTTACAACACAGAAGAAGTGAGGAAAGGATGATGAAGGGAGATGATATGAGAGTCTGCGTTGATGGACTGAAGGCCCTAGGCCAGCAGCCAAAAGACAATACACACACACAATAAACAAAGTGCTGATAGTGATTTATATATGAAAATGCATATGGACAGGTAATTTGGAGCAATTGCGACACGGGCATAAGTAATGATAAGTACATATTTTACTGGTGTGAAGTTAGTAATAAAACGATTCCAGAAATGATCACGTAAGATAGATTTGATGGCAGGGAGAGGGAGATTAATATCTACGGAAGGAATAGAGTTCCACAGTCTTGGGATGCGGTTGAAATAAAAATTCCTCAGTGTGTTGTTCTTTGAGAGAGAATGTCTGAGTTTAAAATAATATGATGATGAGCGAGTAGAATGATTGCAGACTTCAATAAAAGAGTAGATATTGAAATGGTTAGACGGACATTTCATTGATTTGACCAAGAAGAGGATATCGGAGATTTCAAACTCCATCATCAACGGTAGGAGATGTAAATGAATCAGTCGATCTTTATAGTCCATGGATGAGTTATTGACAATAAACTTGGTGGCTCTTCTCTGAACAGACTCAAGACGATTGATGTCAGCCAACAGGTGAGGATGCCAGAGTGGAGAACAGTATAAAAGTTGTGAACGCACAAGAGATAAATAGAGGGAACGCTTGGCAGATACTGCAATAGAGCCTGAGAAGGTCCTTCGTAATTTGTACGCCCGGTAAGGCTCGCAAACCCGGCGCACACTGCCGCGTGCAAATCAACAGCTAAAAGCAAGCTAGCCAGTTAGAAATGGGTATACTGACTTACAGAAGGCGCTGGAGGATGAGAGTTCCTCTGCAGGCATCCAGGCTTTTTCTCGTGAACCCGGTTTACGAGCGAGACTACGCGCGTACGGCACGCCGCATTGGAAACGCCCTCCTTGGCGCATGCGGCTCACTGATGCTGAGTTAGCAGCAAATGGCGTTGTTCAGTCACTACCGAGGAGGAGCTCAACGATCTACTGTATGACTTGCGGCAAGAAAAAAACGATCGCTTGATGTCCGTGCACACCTCTGGCGAATCTGGAGACGTTTGATGGAAAAATCAGCACTTCAAACTATTTTCAGTAACGAGATAGCGGGTTTACTGAAGAAGAAACCAGAAGATGAAGAATATGATGATGATGATGGTGATGGACACGAAAATCGCGTAAGAGCCAATTCTCTCGTGGGGAACTGACGGCACGTAGGAAGTCTTGGGGGGTATGTATAGCTAGTGATTTTCAAGCAATGGTGAGTCATTCTCGCCAAGTTTTGAGGCGTTTTGTACGCGGATCACGGATTTCACCCGTGCCATCCCTATATAGAGCGTCTACCGACGCTCTGATTAGCGCCACTATTACTCATGACATGTGTTTGTTTAGTAGTGTGAGGACTGGCAAAGGGATTCTGTACAGAAAGCAGCATTGTAAAACTGGTTAGTTGAGCAAACATTGGCAATCATAGACTACAAAATACAGTCACAATGAGGGCATTAGCTACCAGTCTTGTGGATAGGAAATGAGTCATAGCTGTACATCATACAATAGAGATCACTCGTGCTTTGCGACAATATACGGCTTGTGTAGAGGAAAATTTACATGAGCAAGCCATGTCAGTTTGAAGATGTAACCATCATCCCCTGTCACTGTACAATGCTAGCTGTGGAGGGAAGTGTTGGGTTTCAAATGTGGCTACTCTCTTGAATACTGCCGGTTATGCTACTCCATTCTCAGAGTTCTGTGTTTTTGATCAAAACGCGCAAAACACAATTATGTTCACATACCGTGACCAATTATTTATTCAAAGGTGGCATGCCAATTTAGAACGTGAACATAGCCTGACTGGACAAGGTGGAAACAAACTGAGATCATACAGATTATTCAAGAAAGAGTTTGGCATTGAGCCCTATCTTTTGAATATAACTTCAGCAGCGCTCTTTCTATGACTCGGCTTAGAGTTGGATGCCACAGTCTGGAAATTGAACGTGGGAGGTACCACAAACCGAAGTCGGTCCCAGTGAGTCAGAGGCTGTGTCACAAGTGCAAATCTGTAGAGGATGAGAAGCATTTCCTATGCGAATGTTCAAAGTATGAAAACCTACGTAACAATCTGGAACAAGTAATACAAGCAGCGTTTCCTGGATATAAGTGGCTTTCATCAGAGCAGAAATTCGTGTACTTACTAGAATCTGATAATAAGAACATAAATGATGCAGTGGCACTTTTTATTCATACCGCTTTCTTATTACATTGTGCATAGCTTGACTAATAGCCTCCCTGGCTCCTCTTTGTCATTAAAAATTTTTATTATTATTATATAAATTGCTTGGACATTAGCAATACTATTAAATAGAGGATTGAGAGCGCGATGGTAGATTCCAGACTTTTCTTAGAATTTTGTTGAGAGCAACTTGAAGAGCATTCAGCGACTTAGAGGAATGAGACCAAAGGTGGCATCTGTACAGTGATATACAATACATTTTACTAAGATTATGTCTTCACAACAGGGTCAGCCGGATGGAACATGCATAAAACGGAGTTGGCTTTTTTATTGAGGAGGAGGTCATTCAAATTAAAGTTCAAGACATGGCCAAGATGTTTGGCTTCATCCGTATACTTCAGTTGTAAGTTCAGAAAATGAATTGTAGGCAGAAAGTTGCAGGATTTAGAACTTCTAAAACAGATCAGCTGAGTTTTATTAGCATTGAAAATTAAACCATAACTAGATGCGTATGAGCTGCAGGTGCTCAACATATGTCTCAATGCAGAGGCACATGGTGCCAACAAAACAATGTCATCAGCATAAGCT